TCTTTCATTTAAAAACCTGCTAGACACATTTTGATAACCCACATTTACTTTGGTAGTTCCTATTGGACAGAATCACACTAGCTGTCTTTCTTTTCAAGAACATTCCCTGTACACATTTTTAAAAGGTTTGATTAAGCTGGAAGCACAGGTAAATATTCTTTTCTGTTTAAACTGTGGATTCAAACCTATGATGACAGAGTCAGCAGGCAAGAGTGGTACTATGATTTTGAATAGATAATCTCATCATGTAGCAGGTCCTTTGCAGAACGTCGCTCTCATCACAGTCTGCCTGTAAGAAACTCGGTCTCTCACCAGCTCTCCCGCCTAATGAACTTTCACACTGAAGGATTCACTTATATCCTGTGCCCATCTTCGTGTTGGTCGGCCTCTGCCCCTCCTTCCTTGTACCATGCCTTCTGCTATAATTTTTCCAATCCGTCGTGGCGCTTGATATGACCACAATATTTCAGCTTTCGAGAAAGGATGCTGTTTATTAGCCAATCTTCCTTGATGTTCAGATCTTTTAAGATGTCAATATTTCTCATCTTCTTTGTCCAAGATTTTCTGAGAATCTTTCTATAGCATTTCAGCTCAAAAGCCCCTAATCTCTTACTTAAGGACTTAGAGATAGTCCACGACTCACATCCGTATGTAGCCATAGGGAAGATGCATGCTCTCAAAATTATAATTTTTATCTCCTTGTTGGTGCTTAACTATAGACTTCTAAGGCTGTTTAATCTTTGCATTGCTATGGCCATCCTCCTTTTAATTTATGTCGAACAGTCTCCATTGTTGAATAGACAATAGATTGTATATATTACTCCCAGGAAGGTATCACTTGACTCATTGTTTCTATGTAGCTTTTACCTACAGAGTTTAGATCCAGTGGGGTTAATATAGCTGCAATAAGACAACCAAAAAGGTTAAAGTAACATTTGGGTTAACAGGCTATCATAACAGCTACTCAGAGAACTAGAAAAGACATTTCATGTAACGAGTAAGCACTAAACACAATAATGAGTTGAATGGGCCTGAATGAGTTAAATCAAGTAGGGGCTGAAGACAAAGAGCAACATCACATAAGTCATGGAAACAACGTGACATCTCAATCTGATTACGGCACAAAATGGAACTTAAGTCTTGGAAACAACGTGACATCTCAATCTGATTACGGCACAAAATGGAACTTAAGTCATGGAAACACCCTGAAAGCTCAATCTGATTACGGCACAAAATGGAACTTAAGTCTTGGAAACACCCTGAAAGCTCAATCTGATTACGGCATAAAATGGAACTTAAGTCATGGAAACACCGTGACAGCTCTATCTGATTACGGCACAAAATGGCACATAATATTGTACACTGATGAGAGAAAAAAACATTTGAGAGAAAATGAGAGAAAGAGAGATAGAAAGAGTATAAATCTAAATTTCTTATGGCTACATTATATACATATAAGGACATTTCTTGCTGACACCCAGAACAGGACAAAAACATACACAGGTAAGAAAATGAGCACACAAGCACACACGCACGCACTCACACACACACTCACGCATCCACACATAGCACACACGCACCCACACATATCACGTACGCACACACAAACACATAAACCCATTAAAAATATTTAATAAAAATGTTTATTTTCCTATGTTGTTATTTAAAAACTCGGAAACTACTGAACCGATTGCTTTCAAATTTGCACACAACGTTGCCTTTGACTCAAAGCGTTATTTTTTGTCAGAAAATCGCACAAACCACGAACGACGTAGCTCCAGCAATGGTCAAATCATTATTTGTTTCGTTGCCGGCCCGGATTAGTTTTTAATTGAATGGCCATATTTGACTACTGAGCTTCGCATTATTATATAATTTCATTTCCACTCTCTGATTGAATGTTTGGTAGCGTAGTTGGTAGCTCTACTGCCTATCATGCGGGTGACGCGCGTTCGATTCCCCGTAAGGTGATATAATTATTTTAGCCCTTAACTGGGCAGCTGGCACGTTGTGTTGTGGTTTATGGCTAGGCTGCGATATTTACGCCTTTTGTCGGTTTTGGGGTTTACAGCTAGCCTGCGACAGCGGCGACGTGATGATCAATGGTCATGTCACGGGTAATCTTCGTTAGCCCTCGAGAGGACCGTTGGCACGTTTTGTTGTGGTTTACAGCTAGGCTGCGATATCTGACCTAAAACTCTTCAGCCTTCGGTAGTATAGTTGTAAGTATGTCATCCTTCACGCGGGTGACCGGTGTTCGACCACCCGCTGGGTGATAATTGTTCTTTTTCCCTTAAAAGGGTGATTGCCACGTTGTGTTGTGGTTTACAGCTAGGCTGCGATATCTGCGCCTCTCGCCCAAAGACATCCGATTTCAGTTAGGTCCTAATTAGCCTCCCCGGGATGCTTCCCTATCAAAAACTATTCGGCGATGGCAGAAACTGTTAACTAAGACGGCTTACAGTCCAGTTTAGTTTGGATGGACACAGATGCCAAGGTCAGTTAAAAATCGTTCCCTTGGAGAGGGAGAGATGACGGGTGTGGGGTATTTTTCTCCGCTATTTGTGAGTATAGTGTACTTTTCACTGTGGGTTCCATCATGGTTACGTGATGAAGTTTTTTTTTTCTTTCTATTATGGGGGCAAATTTAAACTAAATAGTCCGTGACGACAGCATGCGGCGCTAACTCCTCTTTTTTACACCGACCTACACAGACTGTAGTGGCAGTTTTTGTTGTTGTTGTTGTTTTTGTTGTTGTTGTTGCTGTGATGGTAGTGGCGGTAGTGGTTGCAGTAGTACTGGTACTGAATGGGGGATGTGGTAGCTGTTACACTGGCTACATTTACTTCTCTGTACAAGTTAATGCTACCAATTTAAGTATGGGTGCACACGGATGCCAAGCTCAATTTAGTTACACTTTTTCGCTACACAGTGACTTTCCTATCCTTCAGAGAGGATGATATAATTGGGGGAGGAGGAGGGGGGTTATGCCAGACACAGTTAACTGAGAGAGCATAAAATATTATTTTAAAATTCTCATTACTTAACTATTCCTATTTTAATAATTTCACCATGGATGATTTTTCAGTCCTTCGGAGAGGGAGATATGATTTCGCCAGGTGGTGATTTTTCAAATCTTCGGAGAGCGAGATATGATTGGTGGAAGGGGGGGGGGGGGAGAGATATGAATGGTAGAGGGGGGGGGGGGCGGGCGAGGGGGTTATGCCAGACACAGTTAGCTGAGAGAGCTTAAAATATTATTTTAAAGTTCTCATTTCTTAACTATTTCTATTTTAATAATTTCGCCATGGAAGATTTTTCAATCCTTCGGAGAGGGAGATATGCTTGGGTCGAGGGGAGAGGGGCGGGGTATCGCAGACACTGTTAGCTGAGAGCTATTTTCTTTCCTCTTTATTTCACCATTCTGGGCCATAGCAACGCGTGGCCGGGTACAGCTAGTTAAAAATAAAAAGGATCACGTGTTCCTCTCATTAGAGAACGAATAACACACACGCGCACAACCTCATACGCAGGAAAAGTAAAGGACCAAGTTTTCCTATCATTAAAGCAGTAACAGCACACATGAGCACACATACACGTAAATACAATTATGACAAGAAAAAAACAAAACATTTTTGTTAAAGCTGTTCTTGATGTCATCACTCCATCTTTTGCATGGTCTTTCCATTGCTTTGTATTCATTTCCTTTATGTAATTTTTATGTCTCCCCGTAGCAGTTGGGACAAGAGCATCCTCCCCAGATGGCCAAACCATATCATTTGTTGCTATTTAATTAACTGCATGATTAGTTTCAGCCATAGTCTTCTTCTACTTTCTAAAAAAAGAATCTTGTACTCAAGTTTTAAATATATTCGGGAGCCACCATTATGCACTGGCTAGCATCTATCTATTGTCTTCTTCACTTTTACCGGGTTGCAGCCCAGTGTCGTGATTTAAAATATTTGTTTTGTGCCTCTCGCGTGATTTGAGTGACAGTTTTCTGGATCTTCTGGCCGTATTCAGCTACTTGATCTATCCATACTGGCTAGCATACTTTCCTGAATATCACTTTAGGTGAAAAAAGGCTATTTATGGCAACATGGGCAAATACAACAGATTTTATAACACAAAACAAGTGGAGGGTAGGTAGTTGTACACCACCAGGACATTACACAAGTGATAAACACCCAGTGACGCAAAGTGCCACCATGCGGATGATCACCCATGAAGAGGTCCCAGAAACCCTTTCAGCCGTTAGACCACATCTATGGCTAGGCCAAATTAAAGGCCCGGCTATATTGTTGGTGTTGGTGTCACCAACTGGAAAGAGAGGGCTAAAGAGAGTGAAAGGAGGTGGGTGATATCTGCAGTAATGAAACTTAAGGTCTCGGAATGCTGAAGAAGAAGATATTCAGGGCCCCCGGCAAAAGCCAGGGTAGGGTTTCAAAATAAAACACAAAAATTGCATCCTACGAGGGGACGACTTGTTATCTAACAAGCAGTGTTGCCACTTTGGATGTTTTACATCCAGATTAAGATGTTTTCCCTTGCATTTAGATGGCGTTTTTGACGTTTAGATAGTAGATGTTTTTCTAGATGTTTTTATTTGGAGTATATTTATCAAATCTAACCTAAGAAACAGAATGAAATTTGACCTCTTAAATGCTATCTTGACAATAAAATTTGGCCTGATAAGAGTAGGAGAAGGCTGTTCCACTTATCAGCTTCCTGATTGGGTATTAACAGAAATTGGAACAGCTAAAGCATACCAGAGTCGTTTTGGATCTGAAGCTTCAACTTCATCATCCAAGCTAAGTTTATCCTGTGGATCTTGTAAGGCAGACTTCAGTAAAGCTGAAGACATGACTCAATAGGGTAAGTCATATCAATTGCTATGTAATTTGTGACTCTTTCTATTTGGATGTTTTTTCCAGATGTTTTTTTCCACGCAAATTTAGATGTTTTTAGATATTTTTTGACTCGTCTTTGGATGGTTTTTGTCAAAGAAAAGTGGCAACACTGCTAACAAGTGAAAGATACTCACATGGGAACAGTTTCTGCAGTGCCTGTTTGGTATTCTTGGTGGTGGGGACATACATAAACTTGTGCAGATTACTGATGACATGTGTTCCCACTAAAGTGAAACGACCAAAACTGCGACAGTCGACACATCGGATTGTGATGGGTGGACAGTACTGCTCATTGTCTGGGAGCTCCTGGAAATTGAGGCACAACAGGAGTTAGAACTAGAAGCATGTCTCTAGTTAACAATGTCTTTGTTCACAGTCATTTTTCCTTCAATTTTGCTTCATCTTATTTGAAGCTTTCAGTCACTGATGATAAATGACTTACTGTTAGGATCAGTTTCTCAGGTTAAGTAATTATCCAATTTTTACAGATCCTTTCAATTTCAGTTTGTGAAATTGCACGTAATGTGACAGTTAGTTCAAAATGAAAATGAATCCAATTAAATAAAACCAGGGAAATGACTTGCAAAAATTAAACCACCCTAACGTGATCAAGTACGTTGTGAATACACTAGTAGTGTGGTCCAAAAATCTCAGGCTCAAAGGTTTAATTCCCACAGCCCCCACCCCGACCGACCCGCTATCCTACACCGCTCCATAATGTTGTAATAACGGTTCAGGTAAGAGAATATTAGTAAAAGTTTGGAGGTAACTGAGATGTGGTTCTTGAGAAGAATGTTGCGAATACCTTGGACTGAAAGAATAACTAACAACGGTTGCATGGAAATGGCTGATGAAAGTAATCCTTTACAACAGTGAGATGGAGACAAACATATGTCTTTGTTCATGAAATGAGAAAAGGAACACTGGAAAATATCGTGACGACTGGAAAAATCTCAGGTAAAATAGGCAGACCAAGTGAACTGTTGGTAGCTGGCTTAAGACATGAAGGCAAGGAGG